GAGCGGGGTGGGGGGATTAAAAAAAATGCAAGAGTGAATCATGGGTTCCACTCTTGGGAGGGGTGTGTGTAACTAGGTGCATGACTCAGGGGCTGGAGCCCAGCTGCAGAGGATTAGAGAGTAATAGCCTGCCTCCCTAGGAGCACAAGATCAGCTGACAGGGTTGATTGGCTGGCCTCAGAGGAAGTTAAAACTGCCAGGGAGCATAGCAAAAGGGAGAGCGGGAAGGCTTTGGTGCTGATGAGGAAGTACACAGCCAGGGTTGCCCTCTCAGGGTCTGAGGAAGGACCACAGGTTTTGGTTTATCCATTTGTTGTTTGTACACTTGTCTGTTTTATTAGGTTGCTTTCTGTGGGGACAAGTTTTCCCCAGGAAAAATAAATGGCCTGGTGAAAGGAGTTATAGCCCACTACACTGCCACCATCAGAGTCTGGATACTGGACTATCTGGACCATTGGTCTAAGACAATATGGCACTTGTTATGTTAATACAAGAAAGAAACAGGGCAGTGAGAACAGTTAAAACTGACAGAAAGCTGCACTTCATGCTTCTAACGTAAGAGTAAACTCAGGTGCTCCTCTTCCCCTTTCCTAGGATGACAGCCACATGGGAGGTTATAACTGGGGACTCAGACCCAATGGAGGGGAAACAGAGAGAAACATGCCCTTGCTGGGTGCCATGTTGTAGGGATTACTGACCTCCAAACTGGAAGGGGGAGGAAAGCCTAACCTGTGCATCCAGGGTATGTGCAAAACTAGTGAAGATGGGAGACCAGGCAGAAGATACAAGGAGAGAAAAAATGCAAGAAACATTTGGGATGGGGATTGGGAATGAAGTGGCCAGTCCAGGAAGAGGGGATTTGTACCAGTGAGTCACAGGGCTCCTGTCATTTTAATAGGATGCAGCAGGATAAGATGGCTGTGTGGGGCCACAACTACAAGAGTGCAGGCTGGCCCTTAATTAAGACAGTAAAACTACTGTTCTGGGCTGGAGAAGGCACATGATAAAAAGGGACAAGGCCCTGGCATATAAACCCAGGGCCTGAGCCAGAGCTGGCAGCCAGACCCTGCAGGCTGCAGGAAGAGGAGCTCCCCTAGGGAAGCTGTCTGCAGGAAGCAGTACCCAGGGATACACAAGCTACCCACAAGGGTGAGAGCAGGCCTAGCCCTGATAATTAATTTGTGGTAGGAGACTGATAGACAGTGGAGACAAACTTTGCAGAAACAGTCTGTTTATATTTCAGGTGTTCAGCTGTATGTTTGTTTATGTTTGCTGAACAACTGGAAGACTGGGAGTGACTGTAGGGTTGGAGGAAGCCACAAGTGCCTGGCAGGCTCCCCCTACTGCAAGGCTAAGGCCTGAAGAGCTAGGGCCCGGACCAGTGGACCTGGACTGAGCAGCCTCAGCTAGAGAAAAAAGGGACTGAGGCCAAGCAGGCTGAAGCCTGGTCAAGGACTGGGGTCTAAGGGGCCCAGCATTAGCCCAGGACAAAATGGAAGAAAGAGAGGGAGAGAGACTTTGGGGTGTTGGGGTCTGAATTCCAAGCCAAGCAGGCCAGGGTAAGCCCATGTTGTAGCAAAAAGGGGACAAGGAAGACCACCTAGAGCTTGCCAGCTTCTAAGGGCAGCCACCCCTGTTCATTACATAATAACATCAAGGCATGGCAAGTGAAACACCAGGGGAAGACCCTGAGAGACAGGAGCAAAGCTTGGTCAGGACTAATGTGGCCATCAAGGGGGTGAGTGTCACAGCAACCCTAGGGCACATCCTGTTACAGAGGCCTTATCTGACCCATGGCAGCAAGGCCTTGGGGTGGAGGGGGAGGGGGGAGAATAACTCACATTACAGTATAGATATAGGAGGTAAGAGAGAAAAGGGATTTTTATTGTTACAAACTGTAATCCAAAAATTATCAGTTAAATTGACAGCTTCAGAAAGTCAACAAGTCAGCTTCAGAACACCAGCCCCAGAAAGTCAAGTTGGGAGTTTTCCATAAATTCATCAAGCCAAATCTGAACTTATAACTTTGGTTACAGGTCAATACTAAAACAAACCTAATGCTGAGAAGAAAGAGTGAGAACAGTTAAAAATACAACAAACTCCAATTTTCTTCTGAGACTTAAGCCACATTTGGTAGAAATGTAAGAGGAATGGACACCACAATGTTACCACCATCTTGAAGTATACTTCCAACCCCCCACCCCCGCCTCTCCCCCCCAAATCCCAAAACAGCTGATCTTGCAAAATCTGGGGCAAACTTCAGTTCCATGTGCCATCAAGGGACAGACAGAGTAGCAACAACAGCAGCCCAGGGGCATATCTTTATGGTGCAAGAGAGCACTGGACTAAGACATTGCAACATCCACCTCGCAAATGCTAACTCCCAGACTGGTAACACCATAACTGCTTTAATGTATTTTAATACCAGTGAACTCTATACTCTAAATTAAACAATTATTCCAAATGCATATATAGTGTTGGGAGCCAGAACTGAAATGCAGAAGTCCCCAGTGAGTGTCCATATCACTGGGCCAAAGGATCATGCGCTCTTTTTCTTGGTCACTTTCTGGCACCATGAATCTTACACTCTCAGCTGCACAGCAGCACAGCTTCAACAAAAGGGGTGAAGAGTTTCCGATCCCAGCCTAGTTTACGGAGAAAGAAAGGAGATAAAAGGAATGAAATTGTGTGGCCAAATCTGCAGTACTACAGAATACTTTTCCTGATTTTTTTTATTTCACCCATAGGTCTATAATCTCTCACGTACCACAGGAAGGGACTTTTCTGAGGCTTTGTGATGATGGGATCTAAACCAAAAATTCCTAATATATAAATTATGAAATGAATGCAATTTCCCTTGGGTTACAGAGAAGTCTTAGAGAATTTTTAATTCAGCACTTAAATATATTATTCTTCAGTGCTATAGAGAAGGATGTACTGCTTAATGTATTTCCCCAGGGCTGGCTAGAAGGAGAAACTCCCCAGGTTACATCACTCTCTGAACTGTAGTAGAAATTCTTTCAGTTACATGGGGAGGGTCTGTATTTACAGGGAACATGTACAATGCTGTAACCAACATGTTTCCTGAAATGGTTTTGGAAAAATCAAAAGACTTATAAAGATGCTGATACCCACAAACAGTACATTGCATATGGACTTCAGGCAAAAAGAAAAAGGGAAAAACCCACCCCTTAACTAAGCATCTTTGTCATCCAGAACTAGTCAGTCTTCAACCCCTGATGCACTCCACACTAACTGCAGGTTTGATAACTTTGCTGTAAATGTACATATTTCAGAGTCACAAAAATATGAAGCCCAATTCCCAACCTCAAGAACAGAAATAACCTCAGTTTTTTTACACATGGCAAAGGGCCATTACCACGTGCTACAAACAGCATTCATAGTGGCTTCTCAGCTTGTAACCACGCATGTATCGTAAGAGTCGATTCTAGCTCTGATAATGAGCCAGACCTTATTATAACCGTGGATGCTTGCCCAAAAAGAGTCTGTCTTGGGGTGTAAGAACACTGATGGCAAACAGAATCTTATTTTATTTGTGTCTTGTGGCCATACTAGGGAAAATGTAGAGAATTTATGTTCTCAAGAGACTATATCTGCCTACTCAATTGCTAGGTAACCCTGGGAAGGTCGTAAAAGCGACAGTCTATAATTCATTACATGTCACAATCTGAGACTAACACAACCTAAGCAACAGAAAGGAAGTAATCTAATTTATTTGAAATTTCCACAATCCTTAGCTTTTTCATTTAACATGTAGTTTGCCTAATAGCTGAGTCAGAGCGGAAAATTAGCAAGACAACAGAAAAGCCACCTTATCACGTCTGTTTTTAAGCCATCACATTTATGAGGGAACTGGGAGAGAAACAGCAGGGAAGGATGGTGCACAAGTCAAAAAGTTTGACAGGTCTTCTCTGACCATTCTTTACCTAAAAGACATGTGGAGCTTCTGCCAGATCAAAAAGCAGGATCTCTGGTACTACATTTACTTAAAACTATCTTCTGATTTAGCACACTAACCTAATGGATCCACCAATCCCATCTAACCAAAAGATCTATGTACTCCCTTGCCCCTATCATGCACTAAGATGTGCAACAGACACACAATTAACCAACAGCAAGGTTAAAAAAAAAGACCTTTTCACAAAGCAAACTGTTCAGCAGTAATAAAAAGCCTCTCAACTATTCTTTTTTTATTTTTTGGACAGAATACAAAATGCCTAGGCATTTTTACCTTAAAAAAAAGAATCAGAGCAAAAAACTCTAGTTTAGTAATTAGCACTTTATTACAGCTTGTAGGTGCACATGCAGCCTCTCTCTCCTTAGCTTTGTCCTCTTGGTTTACTGTAATTGTTTTCTTCTAGAACATAGATTTATTATTACAAGTATGTATCCACACTAAAACTTGGGAAATTGCAGGCATATTATGGAGGCATAACCTGAGGTCATCTTTCTGTTATTTCTCTGTTATGGTATTGTTTAATGTTGTGATTGTTGCAGGGAGGGAGGGAGATTTATGTATTTTTGAAGATAGCCACAGACCTCTGCAGGAGAGAGGAGCGAGGGTTTGGGAGAGATAGCAAGGGGTGGGGAGGGGTTGTGGGAGTGGAACTGGGCATGAACTGGGAAAAGAGGAGGGGAAGTGAGAAGAGATGTGAATGGACATTAAGAAGCATAGTTGGGATGTGCTGGTGGGTTTGATCTCCTAGGTGACAGGCAGGAAAGCAGGAGGAGGTTGGGTGGAATAGAGTTTCACAGTTCTTGGGGTGTCAGCTGGGGAATCTATAGTTGTTTCTTAGCTATGGGGTATTTGTCATTTATTGCAAGCTACCCTGACCCTTTCTAGGCAAGATGCTATATAAATACAAAACATAATTATTAATATAATTTTGTGAACAACTGTAAAGCACACAACAAAAATAGGCGAACACAGGTTTTTCTAAACAAACACTTGGGATGTACAGCCTAACCAAAAAGCTTACCTTGACAAGCTCCAGTGCGGATGTTAGGGATGAAACCACGACGACATGGCTGAGGCTGAGCAGGACACATCTCACACGGGTGGCCCCAAGCACGACCAATTGTTGCACAGCAGAGAGTCTTTGTGCAAACAATGCCTGTCAACTGGCCCTGGCACATCTGGTTGTTGACCTGAGTGAAACAAGGACCGGTTCTATAATCTGGAATAGAAGAATGGAAAAAGGGAAAGATCAGTGTCACAAAGGCCTACATTAGTTTCTCTGCTATGTAACAGAGAGGAATCCATTTTTTTAAATGAGTCAATATAAACCAAAAAAAAAACCAAACAGGATTTTCAAACTTAAATCATGGTCTTGCATACGTAAGTAATAGGACATTTTCCACTGAGCATACTTATTCTGTAGAGAACATTTTCATATGATTTCCTTGTGAACGATGCTGGAAGATAAAGGGAGCTGATTCTAAAGGAACTATGCCATTAAGTGATTAAATGAAAGTCTCTGGTAAAGTTAATACTGCAATAGGCAGGAAGGAAAGGGGGAAGAAAAATAACTATATTATTATGTCCTGGGAGGGCTGAGAGTTGGGATTTCCTGTCGCTGAGAAAATTCATTATCATTTACCAAAGGGAACTCCAGACCACTGGCACCTCTTTATCAACTGAAGCCATGCAAGAAAAAAATTACACAATCACCATTCCTGTTGTAATGCTTACCACAAAAGCACTGTCTTGACTGAAGCCTTTTTCATAGAGCTCTAATTAGATTATCATTACTTTTCTATTATGAGCATCATGGGAGTCTGTGCTGGTTATGCTGATTAACTACTGTGTGTGAAAAGCATTCCTAAACATACAATGCAGATTTAATATCAAATGGGTAACTTACACATTTAATAAAAACGTATTTTAAATCTCACTGTGGGACGCCTATAGAGCAGTGGTTCCCAACCCCAGGTTGCGACTCAAATGAGGGTTGCAGGGGCAATGCCAGCAGCACTGCACAGAAAAGATGAGCCCCACCCCAGGCCACCACTGCTGCCGCACTCTGCTCCCAGCAGCAGGGCGTGGAAAAAAAAGGTGGGAAACCACTGCTATAGAGTCTTGCCTCACAGTCGCATTCAATCTGTGCAAAAAAACTGGGATTGTAGTCTTACTAAAAATCCCTCAAGTAATGTGCAACACTTAGTTGTACTGCTCCTGGTGCAAAAATAAACCAGGTCTCGGCTCTATGCAAGATGTGGTGCTCCTATTGGCATTTAGGGAGGGGAGGAACAAAGGCAAGAGACAAGGTTCCACCTACTTCCTGTTCACCTACATGAAATAGGAAGTAGCATCCTGGAAATAGTTACCGTCTTCCCATACAAGCTCTAACAGTACAGGGAGCTGGTACATCTCATTTCTCCTCTGCCTGGACATGAAACTGGGGCTATGGTTGAAATGTAAATGGGGGAAGTAACAACTTTCCTATAAATAAAAGTGTTGCAATTTTAAGATCTGACACATTGTGCCTTGAAGAACCAGAACCAGAAGATTTGTTATGGCCAAAGGAGAATTCTCCTCCCGCTCCCCTCATGCCCATTCTAATGGGACCCTGGCAGTTTCTGAGAAACAGACTATTTCAAAAGTAGCAATGTTTCTGTATATAGAAAAGCTATTTTAGATTATGACTGAGTATCTCCAATAGCTCCCTGTGAGCTCTATATAGTTTGATTTAGGGTTCCTAGTGGGAATCCGGATTTCATTATTGAGTTCAAAAGGATAAGGATCTGCATGGTTCTGCCACTTGTTATCTCCACTTGAATGTCCCTGGAGATTCAATGCCAGCTGAGACAGCCCATCAAGGAGAGACTGGAGATTCTGTGCCAGACCAAGATGGGATTAGAATTTGTGTCCTCCGCGAGATGGTCAGCTAATCAATGTTCCCCTGTGTGCTTGACTGCATACAACCACTGTTGGAAAATTGGGAAAAAGTTGCCCAGCACAGCATGCTGGGAAGTCTGCCCACTGGCCCTCCAGTAGTTGCGCACGAACTGTATAGTAAACATTATTGTGCACCTGCTCAGAACACATTCTAACTCTAATGCTGCCTAACATCCCACATATTTAACACATACGAAGTGTCCCAAGCAACAGGGCTCTTAATCTCCTTTGCATTACTGATCATGCCCATAAAGCAAAAGTTAAAAATAAAAGAAATAAATGATAAAAGTATACAGAAGACTATTAAAAGAAATAAATGTATTCTCACATGGACCCCTATTAGGCATAAAACCATACAAAGGCTTTTGCATGTGGTTAACTCCAAGGGACAGAGTTTAGCACATGCACAAGATCTCTGTAAATCAGCACCTAATTGTTATTATAAGAATGGAAGATAAAAAAATAAAATAAAAGAGGTGTTGGACAGTACTGCATTTCTCTCCCTACCTCCAAATTATCAAGTGAAAATTATGCATACACTGAAGCAATGTTTTTTCTACAAGGTCTGCATTATCAAAAGGAAGTCCTGTACATTAAAAATGTTACAGCATACTCCTTCCTCAAAGATACAGAATCACCATCAGCTTCACCATGTTCTCAGTTTCATTGTGGTCCAACATCCTTCGCTGTCAAACTAATGACTGTCAAACAGTAGTTGCATTTTCTCACAAAATGCAGAAATTATCTCTCTCGATGGCCAGTAAGATAAAACAGTGACCTCATCATGGAAGAGTCTTATATGGGAATGACTAAATTTCAAACATGAACAGATATTGTACATCTATCCGGATTAAGGTTCCATGAACCTACTGTGGATCTTGCATGAATTTTAATTAAAGGCAAAGGATTAGTGAAGAACTCTGGTCAATATTATGTATCCCTTGCATGAAGTTTGGCAAAGTGTTATGCAGCTTAAGGGAAACAGTATCTTGTATTCTGTTTTCAAGTTGCAAATCACTGCCAATGACCAAGTTATTCTGAGAAAATAAAAATATTACCAGAAGCAAAACAGAACTGTTCAGAAAACAAAAACATTAAGACAGATTAAATCATGACTCAGCTGAATTGATGTGAGTTTTGCTACTGACTCTAGTAGGGTTGAGATTTCCCCCATAGACAAGATTATCAGGTCCCTTAGCAAAGACTGGTACTGTACTTTATTACTTACTGAAGATTAGCTATAAACAAAATACTCACCATGTCATGTCAAGAATGTAATTTTATCCATGTTTGCAAGCATCTAGAGGAGGAAGGGCTGATCATAAATTGCCAGCATGGATTTGTGAAAAACAAATGTCAAACAAACTTGATCTTCCTTGACAAAGTAACTACCTGGGTGGATGAAGGAAATGGTTTGGATATATAGTGTATCTGGACTTCAACAAGGCTTTCAACAAAGTTCCACATGACCTTCTCATAAATTAGAGAAATGTTGGCTAGATAAAACTAGGACAAGGTAGATAGATAACTAGCTCAATAGCTGCTGCAAGCAAAGGCTAACTATTAACAGGTCCATGTCTCAATGGCAGGTTTTCAGTGGAGTCCAACAGGGGCCTATCCTGGGCCAGGTGCTGTTAAATGTGTTTGGATGCTGACATGGAAAGCTTCTTGAGCAAGTCTGCAGACAACACAAAACTAGGAAGGATTGAGAAAACATTGGAAGATGGAAACATAATTCAGAAGGATCTTGGCAGATTGGAAACTTGGGCTAGTGCTAACAGGATGAAGTTCAACGTGGGCAAATTCAAAGGGCTTTACCTCGGCAGGAATAATCAAAAACAAATAAAAAATGGGTGACACCTGGCTGGATGAAAGCACTATGGAAAAGGACTTGGGAGTCTTGGTAGATTACAGATTCAGTATGAATCTGCAGTGTGGTGCAGCTGCACAAAAGGTGAATGAGGTTTTGGGATGGGGCTGTGCTCGGGGTGGGTGGCAGCAGCGCTGGGGGGGGGCCTACGGGATGGACTACAGCCAC